TTGTTTATTTTATGTATTTTAGGGAGCAAATACAGACTCCCGCATTTCAAATTGACATTTTTATTTGTGCTTAAAAACCGATAAGTTTCCTTGTCTAAAGTTTGGTTTTGATACATCTCAAAAACTTTAGACTGGATGATCTGATGTAGAGTTTCTAAATCAGGTTTTTCTACTTGGACATAATAGGCAGAATCGAGTTGTCTCATGCCTTCTGAGATATATTGATCTCTGTCCATTACAACAACTGTGTTGCTTTTGTCTGCCTTTTCAATTACGATCCCAAGATTTCTTTTTAATGAAACAAAGGCTTCCCTCTCATGTTTAGTGAGATTGTCTTCAAAACGTTTGATTGACATTGATGTTAATTCGAGTTTAGTCTTATCTATATACTTTTCTAATGCATCACATATTTGCTCTGGTTTGTAACCTGAGCGTTGTCTAAAAGGATGCAATAAGTTGTCATCGGAATTGCTGAACAAATATTTGCACCTTAATTTTCGTGCAAATTCATCAAAATCTCTTAGTACAATGTTTTTGGCATTGTAAGACTTAGAACTTGGTATAAATTTTAGTCCTTTACTAAGAAGAGATTGTTCAGCACGTGTCAGACAATGTTTTGACAAGTTTAAAACTTGGATTCCAGTTCTCTTTAAATTATTCAGCTGCAAGTTACGAGCAGAGATAGATCGTACTCGTAAAAGAGCATTTTTTGGCTGCAAGTTACGAGCAGAGATAGATCGTACTCGTAAAAGAGCCTTATTAGATTTCTGTTCTCTCTTAAAGCGTATACCCATTTCGCTTGCAAGATGGATAGAGCATGTATGAGTAAGAATTATCATCAATGCCAATTTGTTTGTAGCGCATGTGCAGAGTTGGACACGCCTACAATGTTTCAAACAATTCTGATTGGTGGAGCAAGTACACAGTTTTAATCTTGTTGAAAATTAGTGTAAACAAGCCAATATGATAAAATAATGACATAAAAGTGTTCAATCAAAGGTCCATACGATAGTTGTATATTTTGATATACAATTCCAAATCCTATTTTTCTTTGAATGAGAAGATGCGCATAATTGCGATAGATAGTGTCGTTCGTTGATTTTTCAGTCAGTCAATCAGCTATTGAGATTCTGGGTTAGGCAAATTCAATTGACACTGGAATTTTAATGAGAGCCACCTTGGATATATATTAGTTCTGATAGCATATTTCAGACTCGCCTTTTTCGTGACGTATTTTTGTTGTTCTTGCATTGAATGATAAATGATTCCGATAGACGGTTCAGTTTCATCTTGTAGTTCAGGACCAGTGTCAATACTGTCCTCATTGAGCTTTAAAGTTAAAGCCAGGTCGTCATCCTCTTGCAGATAGACTGCTTCTTGATTATAAGGAATGTGTTCATCTTCCATTTTTGTTGTCTTGTTTTCAAACTTCTTTAATGAAGTTTGTTGAATCTTTGTAGCATATTTGTCCGTAATGAACTTTAGTCATTGTATTGGCTTTGTGTCTCTGTCAAAAGTCAACCTTTTTGGAATTTTTTTGTTCTAACGGAAATTACACAGATGTGACTCACAATGGAGAGGTCTTTGATGACAGAGATTTCCTGTGTAAATTTTATGGGAAGCACGAAGTAACCATTTGTCTCAGCAGTGTAAATTGGGAGGTAGATATATGTGACCAAATGAACTTCGTGAGTGAAGTAGACCATCATGCACTGGATTGGGCCATTGTTTGCTGTGAGCACCTCTGTGCGCAATCGCAACAATATCCATAAAAAGTAGTTTCCTCGACCTGTGTAATGAGCTAATGACATATCGTGCGGCGATTGGAAAATTACTCTGTGTGTCACAAGATAACTATACGAAAAAATAGATTTTTTATTTTAAAATACGGCAAACTTACAAGAAGAGTATTGTTTTTCCTCTTTCAAGTACACGATTTGATCAAGAGAAATATTCAAAATATCCAATATGTTCTTCTCCTCATGACTTTGCTCCTGTTATGAAATGATATTGCGGAAAATCCTGGTCCTGAGCTAAACGTAAATGGTTTATCAATTTTTCATATGAACTGTAGAAGTATACGACACAAATAAGACAAGAACTATCGATGTATAGACAAAACTATAAGTGATCACAAAGCAGCCTATATTATACTCAAACTAGACACCGCGATCCAAAATACGTATGTTCGAAAGATTTTCCTGTACAAAAGAGCTAATTTTGATCTATTTAGAACGGATATGAATGAAACAAATTTGGATGAAATCTTAAATAGCGAAGATGTTGATGTTGATGTAGTTAAATTTTACGTAAAAATTTCAAAATTTGTGAATGAACACATCCCACAAAAAGATGTAATAGTAAGACCGGATGATAAACCTTGGTTCAATTCTGAAATCAGGAAAGAAATAAACCTGCGCGAAAAATTTAGAAAAGCTTAAAGAAATTCAGAAAATGAGGAAGATAAAGCAAAATACCGTAAACAAAGAACTAAAGTCAAGAATTTTAAAGAAAAACTAGAAGAAGAATACCTGTTAAACCTAAATGAATCATTAAATCATCTAAATTGTACAAACTCAAAAACTTATTGGCAGATAGTTCGCAGATTATTGAAAGGTTCTAAGCCGTCACACTCCGTTCCTCCACTAAAAGAAAATAATGACTATGTATTTACAGATGAAGGAGAATGTGAATTACTGAATGCTTATTTCTGTAAAGTTTCTTCTAATGATAATATAGACAAAAATCTCCCCGAATTCGAATCAAGAACAGAAGCCAAACTTGAAAATATAGCATTAAACGAAAACGAAATTGTCGATATTATTGAAACTTTAGATTCCAAAAAAGCCTCTGGTCCAGACAACTTCAGTCATACTTTGATAAAAGAAATAAGAAAGGAGATTGCAATCCCGCTAGAAATCATCTTTAATAAATCTGTGAGAACTGGGAAATTTCCATGTGCTTGGAAACATGCTAGTGTAATACCTGTCTTTAAAAGTACCTGGACACAGATTTGAAGTTATTATTTTCTCTATAATATTACGAATTTTATATTTTAATAGCATTTCACACAAAAATAAATCAAAAATCTTATTTCATTTAATGGTTATTAAAACTTTAAATTCTTTGGCGGGTTTGATTGATACATCCTTGCACTTACTCAAATTATATTTTATTCTTAATACTAAGGACAAGCTGCAATCTTGTTTTGTATAAATGAAAAATATTAATACTATAACTCAGAAAATTCAGAGTAGACATGTTCGAAAGCAAAACAAACACGCAATATATTGTCAGTCCGTGCAGTTGTGGTAAGCAGACTGTGACAATTGAACGCACCCGGTGAATTATAAACATCAACAATAACAGAACTCGTGCCCTGTTTACAAAAACTGTGTACATAATACGAGTGTGCTCGATTTGCTAAACTTTGTACGCAACTCTTAGTTCGGAAGGACGATACTTGTGAAGGAGTTTTGCTTTCTAACATTTCTACTCTGAATAAAATTATTTTTCTCGATAAAAGTTTTAATATTTCACATTAATACACAACAAGTTCGCCACTTTTCCTAAGGATTAAGAATAAGGTTAAAATATGTGAAAGTGCAAGGATATGTCAATCAAACCCGCCAAAAAAAAGTTTTAATAACTTTTAAATGAAATAAGATTTCTAATTAATTTTTGTGTGAAATGCTCTTAAAATATATAAGTCGTAATATTATAGAGAAAATACTGACTTCAATTCTGTGTCCAAGTACCTTTAAGAAAACCGTTCTCATTATTACTGGTACTGAAATATAATGCAGTACTATGATTTGTACTTCATGGGAATAATGCACTCTTTCCATTATTCAATTTTAACAGCTACTGATAACCAAGCATTTGCATCATCGAACTATTTGTAAATTATTTCTTCTTTTTAATTCTTGGTGTGGAATTTACAACGAGGCACGTGACTAAAAACAATAGTCTTAAAATAATCAAATTCAGAAGTTTAGAATCATTATTAAAACATTTTTTGGAAGAATTAGAATTTTTTTTTTCTTTTAATATTTTTGAATTAAGAATAATCGTCTCGGATATTTTTTGCATTAAACAGGGAGTTTTTCGAACTACTTTTATCCGACATGCCTTATATAAGTTCTTTGTGAAAGCGTGACGTAGGGTGATTTTTGACAACAACCTATTTCATAATATTAGGAGAAACAAATCTAAACATCTTAAAATCGATCATCTGATAGAGCAAGGGCCCGAGGCAAAGACCTAATAAAATTAGTTTGATTTAATTAGAGTTAAAGGTTTGAATTAAATATCCGATTATTTCAATCTTCGAGAGAGAGAGAGGGGGGGTTATGATTAGCTTTAAATTAATTTTGAATCATTTTGATTTTATTTTGAAAATTAAGAAAAAATTCAGCTTTTCAATGAAGTATTTTTTTTCAGTTCTGTATATTTCTTCCCTTTGTTTTTATGTGCCAAGTTTAAATAATTTCAGTGTCAAATTTTGCATCGTCTTAAGGCATTATCGTGTAATTAAAAAAAATCCTTTACGTATGTGTGCAAATAAAAAAAAATAATTTCGAAATTATCTTTGTTCCCACACCTACAATTGAAATCAGACACTGTTATCAACACCTGGTTAAACAAGAAATAAGAATGACGACAGACGTAGAAAAAAATGTTTACTAACAAAATAAAACAGGGTACATGTTGTGTTTCATGTAAGACTTTCACGCTTGATTTCCTGAACCTTATACGAACTTTCCTTCGTCACGACTTTATTAAAACAATGCTACAGGGTACCCCAGGCCCCTTTCGCTGATTGCGTGACAAATTCTAGATTCGATACCCTTTCGTGCTCTGCGCCCATTCACGGGTCAACAATCACGGGAAAGTATAAAGCTCAGCGAAAACGAGAATTCACTTTCACAAACGTTACGAACTTTTGTAATAGAGGTATTTAATTACACGGGTCTCAGGTGCTGAGGACACTTAAAAGGAGTAAAAAGTCATTGCAAGTGATGGCGGGCAGCAGATTTACTGTGTTACTTTTAGGTTTTTGCGGCATTGCTGCAGCGCAGATAAGTCCGAACTTTTGTCCGCACGAACAACCAAGCGTTACGTACAAGGCCTGGTCTTCCGAAACTAGCTGGGATTCAGGAGTGAGTAGTTGTTTTTTTTTTTTTTTTTTTTAAATCAAAATGGGCTGGCAATGCGTCATGTAAAAATTATTGTGTATGCATTTAAAAAAAACAAATTCTGATTGAACACTTTATCTTTATGCACTACATTATCGAATGTGCATTATGCATTACAATACCCATAGGTTAAAAATATATATAATAATTGTAATAAATTGCAATTTCATTAAATAATTGACCATTATGCAAGAATAAAAAAGGTAATATAATTCAATATACCGAAGAGTAATGTTAAAATTTCACTTACGTAATATTACATTTGTAAATACAAGCTTCGATTCAGCTCTGGTTAAAATTTCACTTCACAAAATATTTCGATCTGCTTTGAAATCCTGATAAACGAAAGCTTTCTGACTGGAATCTGGCGACAAAGCTTGCTTTGTACACTTTGTACACTGTACCTAGATATTTTGATAAATTCCACAAAAATACCTGCATGGCTTTTTTGTTATACTTAATTTGTAAATCGCAAGGGCCATGCAAAGTTGTAGTGATTTTGAAATTAATCTACTGCCCAAAATTCAAATTTTAAATGTTGATTTGTTGTACGTTTTTGTTACCTATGCAAGGTTAATATTGATTTAAATTGAACATAAAGATCATTTGACGGGTAATTCAATATAAAAATAATCATTTCAAAAACATTGACCTTGATACGAATAGGTAAAAGTAAATTAAAAACAATTTTTATAGATATTAAATTTGTGAAGCATGCATTAATATATTTAATCCTGTTTTAATTTCTTTAACCATGTTTAGCGAAACAGAGCTCGTTGATTTATTTTCAAAGGGAAAAATCCCTCTACTTGACCATTATATTTTTTTATTACAAAGTAATGAATAAATAGGAATTTGAATCACTAATACAATTTCAGTTTAAGGAACGGAAAATTAATGAAAAATAAAGCGTAAAATTACAACAGGCATTATTTTAATATACACATGTACACAGATGTAGGATAAACTTGAGTTATATCGCATTTTTTCATGATTTATACAAAAGGAAGAAGAGCCAAGTGCGCTTCTCACAAAATATCCGCAACTGAATTGAATGTGTGTATAATTTTTAAATGTACAATTCAGAAAGAAAAAAAACATAATCTGAATTTAACATTTTGTTGAGGTTTGATCACAGAATATTTGAAACAGAAACAAACTAAAGGTTTGCAGCAAAAGTACAAAAGAGGAAGTCAACTTTAGATTAAAAGTAGAACTAATAAATGATTTGAACCAATCTAATTAAAATTAGATCTTTGATCCGCTCCAGTAGCGATTTAACTAGAGAGGATCAAAGATCTAATTTTAACTAGATTGGAATTGAACACATCATGACTGCTATTTTTCTCTTAATAGAAAGTGCCAGACGCTAACACTGACGTAGCATTAAATGACGGAATCTATCTTGTTGACACGTCGGTTGACGTCAGAAGCATCACCGTTGGCAAGGACGCCACCTTAGTGTTTAAGGATGTCGACCTTAAGGTCAGGACCCGCTACATCCTGGTCCGTGGTGCGCTTTATCTCGGCTCGGAAACGTGTGAACTGAAAAGCGTCATTGATATTACACTTTACGGTAAGTTTGAATGTTATTGAAACTATTTATTTAACGATTGTATTAATATGATAATTAGATAATTAAAAGAAAAATAGGGATATTTCTATTACAAATATACCCATGTATACACTGCTTGGTGGCCCAGAGATCAAAAGAGTCTGAAATATATGACGTTTTTCAAGCATATTTTACAACTTTCATGTTTGGCGTTTTCCTGGTGCGTCAAAAATCAAAACTGACATTGTGAAAAAACGCCTGGAAAACGTCAGATATTATAGATTACATAGGCTCAACGTTGAGGTTCTTTTTTCATGTCAATATTGTAGAAAAATTGATTCACTCAATAGTAAAGATTTTAAATCGGGCTACAAGAGTTAAGTTGGATGTAGTAATATTTTCAGATAAAATCCAACGGTCTTGTTTGTTTCAAAATCATTGTTGTGTCCTGCACTGGCATTAACAATTTCATATTGGAGGAACGTATTGTTTGGGGAAAAAGTTTCCAGGTCCTAAACAATGTTATTTAAAAAGCGCATAAATTTCATTCCGACTTACAATTATTTGTTTAGGTGACAAAGGTGATGTTTCCATACCTAGTTTTGGAGAGAAATTTATTGGAGTAGAAAGTGGCGGAGTTCTCCATCTACATGGGTCCGACAAAAGGCCGTGGACAAAACTAACCCAGACCGTGCAGAAAGCAAAGAACGGAGAAATCTCCGATATTTATGTAAGTATCAAGATCTTCTGAAACATTCAAATTTTCGACAACAAAAAAAAAATCAATGAAAAAAAATCAAACGGAAAGGGGGTGGAGGTACGCCATGCGGCGTGCTGGTTCTGCCTTTTTCAAAAATATTTTTATTTTCACACAGTACGTAAATTGTCCATGGAACAAAAATTTGCAACATACTCTGTATATATGTAAAAAAAATTCTTCGCTACTCTCTTAATCTTTGAAAATTGTACCTTTATATATGTAGAATGACGACGGTGTCAAAAAAGCAAAGTTCCAAGGAATTGTAATGTATGTCTGGGACGCAACTTCCGGTCAGCTGGAGGAAGCCAAGGGTGTCTACGCCGCGGGTCGGTATACGATTACCAAATCCGGAAATCAGTGCGAGGCGGACGAGGATGCCAAACAGTTTGAAGAAACGCTTAAAGGTATCAAAGATATTTGAAGAAACATTCTCATTGAAAAAAAAAATACCAATTCATAAATCCGATTACTTTGGTAACTTCTATATAACTATTATTAAAAAAAATAATGCCAAGACATTGTATTACAAAGTATCAGACAAGTTCAATATATATACAATCATATTGTAATATATACATGTATCATTATGGTACATGTACCTATTGAAAATAATAATATATCTGTCATGACCATTTGCTCAAAACATTATTTTTTGAGGTTGTATTACAATATTCAATCGTTTTTAAACCATGGAATTATAAATTTTATTATGATCCTTGTAAAAAGGGGCACATTAAAATATAGTATAAGCTTATTATACATGTACAATATGTCATTTCGTAGAAGATTTTATATATCGTGATATTCTTTGTTTATCTTACAGCTATCCCTGACGGTAAAATTGTTGGACTTGCTTTAATACGACATCTTCTTCATAGAGGTAACGTCAATTACGCCATGTTCTACGAGATCTTTGAAAACTTCGCTTTTGGACAAGTGACGGGCAACAGCGAAATACGGAATCTACGTCTTCATGACGCTTGGTCATTTGTCATGAAGAAAGGTACTTTAAATTATTTAAAACAGCATGACCAAAGTTAGTCAGGTGAGCAGTGTGGCCCATGGACCTCTTGTTCCCTTTTAGATTGAGTTGTTTCTTATTGAATCTCGATCGGTGTGATTCGTCGAGACTAAAGTATGTATTTTTCATAGCAACGACAAATTTTAAACCTCCAACGCTGAAGAGTTCCTGCAATAGTCTGCTTCAAATATGTTGTATTATGTTCTTTATCAAATCAAGGTAGAGTCCTTTAAAACAGACCATTTGTGACCATATAGCAAGTCTTCACCGTCTGAGACTTTCATAAATATAGGATCTCCCATGATTTGTAGTTTGATATGATTTATTTTATCCAACTCTTGTGTGTGTTTTTTTATCCCCCAGCTTTAGCGAGAAATTTGCAGTTCCAATTAAGTCTTGTTTGTGTTAAGAAATTTTTATTTATATTATTTGGACTAGTCTGCTTGACCTACGTTTATTTATATAGTGTAATATTTTATATGAAATCACAATTCGCTTAATTTCAGACAAAATAGAAATAATTCCAAATGTTGAATATTTGCCTCAAATTTGCCTCAAATTTTCTTATTGATTTTGCTCAGGTGACATCGCTTCCTCCCAAGAGTTGTTTTTGAAAGACGATAAAGTAAAACTGGAGCGAGCTGCTGAGGTCTACCACTATGAGAATAACATCAAATTCACCGTCAGGAGCTGGGTCCACACTATTCGTCGTGGTGCCTGCTACGCCCGCGGAAAGAGCGCCCAGGCTGACATTGCCGATCCAAAATTATCCCTAACGAATGACGTCAGTTCCTGGAAAGATGGTAGGTATAAAAACCCGATTTATACCATATTCGTTGCAGAGATGTTAGGATTTGCATTTTTTAAATTAAAAAAAAAGAAGGAAATTAAACGAGCTAAGAGATTAGGTATTTTGGGATTCTGTGACATGAATGCGGTGTACAAATTCTAGCACAACTATTTTTAGGCGATGAAGTGGTCCTGCTGTCCACCGATTATGATCCTAAACAAGCTGAGGTGACCACCATTAAGGAATGTACTGAATGTGGACCGAATGAAGCAAGAATTAATCGTACGTATAGGAACTCTAAGAGCATGGATTTGTCAGAAGTTTCAAATTTTATTTATGAGTCGGATTACTATTGTAAATAATCATAGACTATGGGGAAAATAAATAGAAATTGTAAATTAGTAGTAATTACTTTGGCTTACAGTTGAGCCCATGTTCACTCACTTTGGGCAAATGGTTAATGGTGTCGATATGCGAGGAGAAGTTGCTCTACTTAGCCGTAATATAAAAATCCGAGGGGCTCCGGCTGCCAATAGCAAGACACTCGGGGGACATATCAAGGTACATATATTTTTTATTCAAGTTCATCATATACTCTAAACCAACTTTTATTCGCGTGCGAGAAATTTTCGCGAGAGCCTCATCATCGCGAATATTTCTCGCCGCGAACCGATCCTTAAAGCCTCTGTTTCTATTAACAACAAATCCAAAAAAGGCTAGGTCGCGAAAATTAATCGTCGCGAACTAGTTTACCCCTGCTAAATCGCGAAATAAAGTCGTCGCGAATAAAAGTTGGTTTACAGTATACTGTTAGCTGCAGAACTGTAGCTTTCCAAAAAAAAAAAAAACATATTGACATATTAGTCTGTCAATATAATTTTTTTTCGGAGAGCTTAAGCTCTGCAGCTAATATACTGTAATATAATTTATGACAAAAGAAAAAGTTCTTTTGAGAATATTCACAATCGATCGGTAAGCTTTCATGAAGTAAAGATATCCTTGTTTATTTTTATCTCTCTCCAGCCAATAATTATAATTACGTGGAAGTGTATAAATCATATTTTTACGAACGGAAAATACAAAAAGTTAATAATTCAAGTATATGGGCCTATTGATAGTTATGTTTACTTTCTAACAGAAAGAGAGTGCGAAAGAGCATTGGGATTTAAAAAAATTCTCCGAATTCTGAAGTCAATCTTCCAGAACTTTTTAATGTCAAAATCACATTTTTTTCTTTTGGCTGTTATATAAATTATACTTTGTTCTTTGTTACTAAAGGGTTAAAACTGTAAGTGACTTTAAATTGAACTCCGCGTCCTAAAAATTATAAGGTTTTAAAGTAACCAAATTTAAATGCATTAATTTCATTTGACAGAAAGGGTTTTAAATTAATTTTTTTGATAATAGGGACATTAAATCGAATTGACCACTTAAACATAAAAATTAGAAAAGCCTGACTTTTTATTCTTCTAATACATCTTTGAACAGTGACCTTGTACATGTATTCCCCATTTTCAAAAGGTGAGTTATTTCCCCTGAAGGGAACTCTTTTACTGTGTTTAATACGCATGCGCTATAAATAAAGTCACTTCCGCGGACGTTCTTGATGTAAACATGTTCATGGTGTATGCCTCTGTCATATGGAAAAATGTTATTGTGTTTGTGAATAAAAAGAAATCTTAACTGATTCGTATTTTTTTTAAATTGCCCACTCATAGTCTCTTTCTGGATTTGTATTAATCTGTGTAGTACTATAATAAGGTGCTGTGTGACCCCCCCCTTACAAACAAAAAAGAAACAAATTACTATTAAAATGCTGATACATATTCGAATAGCCCTATTAAAAAAAAACACAAACAAAAAAGCTAATTTTCGGTAGTGGATGTTCTGCAGACGGATCATCATTATTTACAAAATGTGCGGAACAAATTTTTAGTTATAAAGTTTTTACGAATTAATCTAGCCTGCTGCAGCCATATTTTCATTGTATCTCTAGGAATTTTTTGAAGACTGATGACATGTCCATCTACAGTTTTACCTCTGAAATTGCTGCATATACAGCAGTAGTTCGTCTTCCGCTACCGATACCAAGAAACTGCGTTTTTGCTCGATTGTATGTCATAACATAGAACTTTTACTTACAAGAACACATTTGGTGACAATTAAAGGCCTATTTCATTTGAATTAACCGTGTTTCTAGAATTTTCTATTTGTAAAATAATTGATTCACTATTTAGTATTAAAACTTTGAATGGAATTCTAAATGAATAATTTAATCTCATGTGCTCATGTAACGAAGAAAGACTAATTAAAATAGCATCGACCTGAATTCATGTTACATATGTCGTATAAAGTCTGAGCTGCATTTAATCAAAGTTTTAGTGTAGGATCTAAGCATATGTACATGTATATTCCCGAGTAAAATACACATTTTGTTTTAGATCAGAGAATTGAGAGCAGAAATACGAAATTGATACAATAATTTCCTAGCGTATTTCTCGTTAATTAACTGAAAACAATCTTCTCTCAAGTGTTATTTATTTTTTTTTAATCCTTTCAGTGTAAGTACATGTATTTATTTTTATAAGTTATTCTTTTTTTGCAAAGTGTGTAAATAAACAATATCAGAGAGAGAGAGAGAGAGAGAGAGAGACTCCGTGTAACTGACATACATGTACATCTGTGAAAAAATAGATGTACCGTAATTTTATTGAATTCACAATTAAAAATTCTAATAATAATATTAATTTTCACAACTTTGGTTCATTTTCAACTGTTCAACCCATTTACATATTCTCTGTACCTGTACGCACGGAGGGGGGGGGGGTGCAGAGTCAAGGGTTTTAGCCCAACCCCCACTTTTTTCCCAATATTACTTTTTCTATTGAAAATGTTCATTGATAGACAGGTTGTCAACCCCCCCCCCCCACACACACACACTCGGTTCATACTACGGTAAAGTTATATAAGGGAAATGTAGTATTGTATGCCAAGGAACTGGAACTGAAATAAGTATTAGCTTTTTCAACTTTGGGCAAGGTTTTTCTTTGCTTGCCAACTTTTCCAGGTAAGAAAAAAATATTTCTTTGGCTAACCCCCCCCCCCCCCCTTTTAAAGACGATGCTAGGTGCCTGGCTAATTCGTATAGCTTTCTAGAAAGGGGGGGGGCTAACAGACCCTTTATAAAATAATTTATTATCTAAAAAAATGCAAACCGTTTCCTTCTTTTAAAATTTTTAAATACAGCGTGTAAGTTGATCACTATTTTGTTGGATTATCGTAACATGTAGTCCGCGGAAGTTATGCTAGTGTTGAAGAGTTCCGATTTTGAGGGGAGATAACTCACTTTTGAAAATGGGGAATATTCAAATTCACAGATATAAGAACTTTTAAAAGATATACAATCACTATAATTGACATGTTTGTGTAATCCACTCCTTGTTATTCGTGCATAAAAATAATAAAGCACGAGTGAATATCACAAACAATATTTGATATTTGGTAGATCCCACACAGTGTGCTGTTCGGTATTTTTGACCCTACAGGGTTACGTATACAAGGAGCATGGATGTTTCATCTAAAGAATTTTTTTTCTTTAAATATCAAAATTAAAAAGGAAAAATATGCTTTAAAAGTCAAGAAACTTATTCTAAAGAACTACTCCTACCACGAAATACTTAAAACAAACAAAAACTGAGTTCCAAACAAGTTTCTCAAGTATTTTTATTCTCTTTGGCTCGTAGAATAAAAAGTTTCTCGCTTATTTTTTTTTTTTCTAACTTTGGCTGGTAGAATATTATATTCACCAAAACACTTCAAGATGAGAAATGTGAACATAAAGAGCAATGATTCGTTAAACAACAATCAAACGAATTATGATTGATCTAAAGAGATATATAAAAAAAATATAATTATGCAAATGGGGCATAATCAGAGACCCCCCGAAATTCCATATGTTGGACCAAGTACTTAGGAAGAGAATTGTCCTCTGTTTACTGGTCACACCCTCCTTAAGTCCTAGATATAAAGCTGAACACAATTCGTAAAAGGAACATGTGTGCCATATTTAATCAGACTCTCGCTATATCTGAAGACAGCTTTTTAAAGCGGCTGACTTAGTCTCTGTTAGTGTTATCAGTCTTCACCCGAGAAGACGGACGTATGCTATACAGCATACAAAAATAACTAATAAAACTACTTGTATACAGGAAAGTAAGAAACATGTACCAAAGAAACTTACAAAAGTTGCACAGTTCAGTGCAGTATACAAGCACATATACACGTTACTTAATTACTTACTTATGCCTGCTACCCTTTTTGGGGCATAGGCCGCTAACAAGATTCCTCCAGGCCCCTCCTGAGCAATGTTTTATACCTCCTTCCAGTTCTTCCCAATTCTTTTGAAGTCTGCCTCCAAATATACAAATACACGTAACTGCAATAAAATGTAAACAAAGGGAATGCAAGATAACCAGTATGAACACGGGTCACCATTCCACGCCGATACAATAAAGCAGTCAGGTGTACGTAATGCGAACAGTATACCTGGTGCTGATATCGTAAATTTAGATAGTAATATCAAAAATGGTGGATGCCTTTTTACGAGTCGTTTTCAGCTTTAATCAGGTGGAAAGAATATTCCTTGGTCAAATTATGTATAAAACAAAGGCCACAATTGGTTTGAATTACGTCAGTCAATTAAATACAGTAATAAAATGCTTTCTTTGGTTGTTAGTACGGGAATTAATTTCGTCGCTATTGCAGAAAAAAATACATAACCTGCATGTGTAAGCAGGCCATGTAATTTTTCTGCAATTGCTGTGACGTTAATTCCCGTACTAACAAACAAAGAAAGCATTTTATTGTTTAAATTTACATCTGTATTAAAAATCATTCAAAGTAAAATTAGATTTGTTAATTATTGTTTTTAAGATGAATATGTCATTGTATGTAAAACTAATGGTATAGCCATTGTTCAAGAAAACTACACACGTGGCTTGCTCATTGTTGTTCATGCACTGATTACTAGTAATAGCAATGGTCTTCATTAGAACTAAAGGCAAAAATATTCAGTGGATGTAAATATGATACGATAAAATGATGATTATTTAAGGAATGACTCTAATTCTTGGCCAAATTATTCGATTATAACCTGGTTTGGGTCAGTTTACGCTTTATAATCCGCGAAGCATTCCTTTTTGGAAATCAACCAATGAGAGACTAGAAAACAAAATTAAATTATATATGCTTATACGACTATTAAATTTTAGAATTGCTCACTTCAAACAAGGTTTTTGAAGTTCATGTCTTGCAATGTCTGAACATAAAGTAGTTGTATGTGGATTTTTCAGGTCCTGAAGGGTTTCAAAGAAGCACAGGTGGAGAATGTGGAACTCGTTAACATGGGGCAGTTGGATACACTAGGTAAAGACGTAAACACTTCCTGTTAACAAAACGAACGTGTCCATTTAGAATCATGAACATCTGTTGTTAACAACATGAACATGTCAATTTAGAAATATGGACATCTATGCTTAACAACATGAACATTAATTGTTAGCAATATGAACTTTTACAGTTAACAACCTGAACAATGTGTAACAAAAACGTTTACAATTTTTAACAATTAGCTATATGAACAGTTTACAACATGAACATTAACAGTTTACATTATGAACTTACTCAGAGGATTACAAAAAAATTGCAGTTAAAAACATCAACCTTCATTATAAGCACTTGTTTCGGACATAAATTTTTAACCCATAGTATAATAATATTATACTATGGGTTAAAAATTTATTTCCAAAACAAGTGCCTGTGACCTTAATAAATAACAACAATTAACAACTAGGGCTAATTGTAACGGGGACCGTTACAGATGTTCCCCAAACGCTCCCCAACTCCCTTTTGGTGCCATATTTCCTTAAACTCTATCAAATAAGACATACTTTGTGCAATTTAGACTTAAACAATGTTTTCCCAGAAGACTACGAAATATATTTAAATTTTAGCATTACATGCGAGCTCAAGTGAATGCATGTGGGTAATGATCATATCATCTTTTCTACACTATGTATATATATTCAAATAGACTTAATATCAAAGCATTAAATCCAGAAGTATTAAAAAATACACTTATTCAAGCATATTTTTAATTTACTCATTTCACGTTACAAGCATGTGCATGATGACCATACCTTCTTGTAGGGGTCCATTATGTCTATCAATATTCTAAATACCATCCTATTTCGTTGAAAACTAAGGGAGTTATAACCATTTAAAGTTTAAGCCAATCAGATTTCAGCGCACGTGCATGCGTGTGATTTAATGACAATTGTTATATATCATATTGTAGGACATCCTATTGTATGCTTATGTTTTAAATTTCGTAGCATTTCATCAAAGAACGGAAAAGATATTGAGATTTTTGTTTCAGCCAATCAGAGTGAAGAACACGTGCACGCACGTGCATGACGACCATACCATCTTGTTGGAGTCTATTATGACTGTCTATGTTCTAAATCCCATCCTGTTTGGTTGAAAAACAAGGGAGTTATAGCCATTTAAAGTTTAAGCCAATCAGATTGCAGCGCACGTGCATGCGCATGTTTTCACGACAACTGTTATATATCATATTGTAGGACATCCTAATGCATGACTATGTGTAAAATTTCAAAGCATTTCGTCAAAAATTAAAAAAGATATTGCGATTTTTGTTTCAGCCAATCACAGCAAAGCACAAGTGCACGCATGTGCATGCATGTGCATGACGACTACACCGCCTTGTAGGAGTCCATTATGTCTGTCTATGTTCTAAATCCCATACTGTTTGGTTGAAAAACAAAGGAGTTATAGCCATCTAAAGTTTAAGCCAATCAGATTGCAGTGCACGTGCATGCGCGTGCTTACATGACAATTGTTATATATCATATTGTAGTACATCCTAAAGTATGCCTATGTTTTAAATTTCATAGCATTTCGTCAAAAAACAGAAAAGATATTGAGCTTTTTGTTTCAGCCAATCAGACCGAAGCGCACGTGCATGCGCGTGAGTTCGTGCTAATTTGACAGTGTCACATTATCTACAGTATTAATATATCTTTATATAATGAGTTTCAAATCATTTCATCAAAAAATGTAAATGTAATAGCTATATTAAGTATATCAGTCAATTCACTCATTTCACGCGCACGCACGTGCATGCGTATGCGCGCAAAATAACCTTCGTGTTGCACACCTACACTACACACCTATTAACCCTAAAAAGGTTTTAGCTCAATTGGGTGAACAGTTTTTGAGAACACTCGCGGACAAAAAAGTACCGGAGAACAAAGAAGAAAAAAAAGAATAATAATAATAACTAGATGAGATCTCGTTGCGAGCAACGAGTAGGTCTTCCGTTAAATTTCCCGATAAGATGAGATGTGGTTTTGACTGAGATATTCGTTTAAAGAGAATGACATTGAGTTTTCCTTCATTAAATTTAAAGTTTCTCATTTTTACAACGACAGTCTGAACATCTTTTGTTCAATTAGGCTTATAAAAATACCCCCCTTCTCGAGACGTAAAGCATAAAAAATATAGCATTTTGGTCCCTTGCGACCCCTTATTACGTAACATATGATCAAAATGTTATCATATATTGTTGCAAATCGTTAAGATGAATACTTTTGCCCAAATAATGTATAACAAAATATTGATCATTAGAGAGTTAAGGATTTTGGCCCCTCTGTGCCCCTAATTTGAGGGGTCAGCCCCATTTTCTTGATATCAAATGAAAGATCTTGTGATTCTGAAGATTTTTTGTTCAACAATTATTTAGAGATTTCTTTTCGTTGTGGAGTTATGCTGAATGGAAATATTTAGGGGTCATCGCTCAAGGTCCTTAATCGGTCCGTTTTACAAAAATTCAAAGTATGCATATTGTTGAGAACATTACTCTGACCATCTTTTGTTCAATATTGCTTATCAAAATATTCCCCCTATTTGAGATATAAAGCGTCAAATATTTGACATTCTGGCCCTTTGTAACCCCTAATTACGTAACATATGATCCAAATTATATCAGATATTGTTGCAAATCGTTCAGATGAATACTTTTGCTTCAGTAATGTATATCAAAATATTGATCGTTATAGAGTTATAGATAAAAGACGTTTGGCCCCTCTGAGCCCCTAATTTAAGGGGTCAGCCCCTTTTTCTTGATATCAAATGAAAGGTCTTGTGATTTTGAAGATTTTCTGTTCTACATGTATTCAAAGATTTCTTTTCGCTGTGGAGATAATTTGAATGGAAATATTTAGGGGCCATCGCTCAAGGTCCTTAATGGGGACGTTTTACAAAAATTCGAAGTATGCATATTGTTGATAACATTACTCTGACCATCTTTTGTTCAATATTGCTTGTCAAAATATTCCCCCTTTTTGAGATATAAAGCGTCAAATATTTGACATTCTCGCCCCTTGGACCCCTAATTATGTAACATATGATCCAAATTATATCAAATATTGTTGCAAATCGTTCAGATGAACACTTTTGCTTCAGTAATGTATAACGAAATATTGATTATTATAGAGTTATAGATAAAATACTTTTGGTCCCTCAGAGCCCCTAATTTTAGGGGTCAGCCCCTTTTTCTTGATATCAAATGTAAGGTCTTGTGATTTTAAAGACTTTTTGTTCAACACCTATTCAGAGATTTCTTTTCGCTGTGGACATATGCTGAATAGAAATATTTAGGGGCCAGCCCTACAAGTCCTTAATGGGGTCTTTTATCAGAAATTCAAACGGTGCATATTTTTCAGAACATTACACTGACCATCTTTTGTTCACTATTGCTTATCAAAATATCCCCCCTTTTCGAGATATAAAGCGTCAAAGATTAAGCATTCTGGCCCCTTGTGGCCCCTAATTACGTAACATATGAGCAAACTTTTCTAATATATTGTTGAAGATTGTGAAGATGAATATCTTTGCTTCTATAATGTATCACAAAGTATTGATTATTAAAGAGTAAAAGATGAAAGATTTTTGGCCCCTCTGAGCCCTTAATTTGATGAGTCAGCCCCTTTTTCTTGATATCACATGAAAGCTTTGATCATTTTGCACAAATTTTCTTCAATATGTTTTAACAAATTATGAACAGATAAGGAGATATGAAACAAAAGGTGTCAAATTTTGTGAGATGTTTCTGAGACATTTTTTCGGGCCCTACCGAGCTCCGGCGCCTTTCGCGCTAGGAAGTTTTAAACACCCATTTGCACATCTGCAAACCTTCCTCTTACTTCACTGAAAATCTTGACTCAATATCTTAAGCCGTTTAGGAGGAGTTCCCAGGACAAGCAGACCCTCTGAAAAATCAGAAAATCCTTAATATCTCGAGATAAGATGTGACGTCATCATTCAAAAAAATTTCCAATAAGGTTCAGATCAATATCTATCAGATCTGAAAGTTTCATGAAAATCAACCGAGTAGTTTCTGAGAACTCGCGTGCACAAAATCGGTTGGAATAATAAAAGGGAAAAAGAAACCTAAGAATAACAGAAAGGTCTTCCGTTGGAGACGGAAGACCTTAATAATAATAATAATAAGAAACCGAGTAAAAACAATATGTTCCCAAACTCCGTTTGGGGAACATAATTACAGTTAATAAATGGTCTATAACAGTATCACAAGAACTGATTTTCTGCAAATGAAAACATGAACGATTCAATCAATTCTCAACCGTACATCAGTATTTTCTGTAGTATGCCATGGCTGCCTTATGTTAGATGATTATATTATATGCTGTGCTTCTTATATTATATGCTGTGGATTTGTAATTATATGCTGTGGGTTTATAATTATATGCTGTGGATCTATTATTATATGCTGTGGGTCTATCATTATATGCTGTGGTTTTGTAATTATATGCTGTGGATCTATTATTATATGCTGTGGGTCTATAATTATATGCTGTGGTTTTATAATTATATGCTGTGGGTTAATAATTATATGCTGTGGGTCTATAATTATATGCTGTGGGTCCATTATTATATGCTGTGGTTTCATTATTATATGCTGTGGTTTCATTATTATATGCTGTGGGTTCATAATTATGTGGGTTCATAATTATATGCTGTGGGTTCATAATTATATGCTGTGTTTCTTTTATTATATGCTGTGGTTTCATTATAATTTATATGCTGTGGGTTCATAATTATATGCTGTGGGTGTATTGTTTCATATTCTGTCGGTTTATTAGAAACTATAGCTATTCGAATCTGGACTTTTGGTTTTTTTAGTTTACTTGCTCAAAAAATGGCGGCAACTGCACCAGGCCTAACCGTAATAGGAATGAGAGAGTGGAGTGCTGAATAGGAAGACATTACCTGATTGGTTTAAATGAGGTACATGTATGTTATGTGTTTTTTTTAAGTAAAAATATTAATGTTTGAAATAAATGAGTGAATGTATGAATATTACAGAAATATAGAAATACCAGGGGAGACTATAGGAGCGGAGGTTGATTTTTTTTGGCAGTGTTATTTACTGGTGGTTACTGTAAGTTAATTTTTTAAATTTAAACAACTGCAGTTTTGACCTATAAACGCCATGGGACCCTATATTATTTTTTTTGGGGGGGGGGGGGGGTATAAGCACCGGGAATAAAGTTTCAAACGATTCCAAGGAATTGCTTGAAATTAAATTAGTATAGTAGTGAGAGGACAAAAGGTTTGTATAGAGTTCTGTGGGAAAATAATTGGTACTCTTTTCCTTATAGAGATCTGAATTTTTAAAATTTTAAGTGAATTTAAGGTCAAGAAAAATGATATTTTGCTCTTTATTTGACGACACACCGAGAGGAAATATACATGTATATATAAAAAAAGAAAAAATATTTGTTTTTGTTGTGTTGATATTTGAGAGGAGTTATGTCCTTTGTTAAAAGGGGGGGGGGGGAGTGAGAAGAATGTAGATATTAGCATATATAGGCGTCGGAACCGGGGGGTGGGTGGGCTAGGGGGGTTTAGCCCCCCAACTTTTTTTCCAAACATATACTTAGTCTAGACATTGAACATTGTTTCTTAGGTTTAGCCCCGCCCCCCCCCTCGCACTTTCCACAGATACGTCGCAGTATAGGTTAAAAATGGGGAAACTGGTGGTGTTTAGAAAAAAAATTAGGTACTAAAGAAGTTCGTCGAACCTAACACCCCCCCCCCCCCCCCCACGACACGAAATAGAATTTTTGTGATTAGGCCATTTTAATTCCTTTTTTTTTTTTTTTGCTTGTCAGGTTTTTTTGATGGAATGTTTTTTTTTTTATCACTTAGCCCCCGGCCCCTTTAAATTTGCTTCCGACGCCAATGATTAGTATAGCGTGATGCATTTGATAATGTCCGAGGAAGTAAGTAAGTTAACAACGTGCATCAGATTGCTCTTAATCTGATAAATATTTGTAGTGTATGGCATCGTTTGAAACTTTAATCCAAGCGCTTATAAAAAAAATCCCCTCAAAATATAGGGTCCATGGCGTTTATAGGTCAAAATTGCAGTTGATAAAAAGGTACCGGCAGTAAATAACACTTTGCCCCCCCCCCCCCCCCCCCCCCCCCCAAAAAAATCAACCCCCACTCCTTCAATCCCCCCTGTTATTTCTATATTTCTGTTATATTCCTACATTCCATAAAAAAAATAAACCCCCGCTCTTACAATCTCCCTGGTATTTCTATATTTCATACATTTCTTCATTTATTTCAAACATTAATATTTTTACTTTTAAAAAGTAAAAAAAAAAAAAAAACATTGCATACATGTTCCTCATTTAAACCAATCAGGTAATGCCTTCCTATTCAGCACTCCACTCTCTCATTCCTATTACAGTTAGCCGCCATTTTTTGAGCAAGTAAACTAAAAAAACTAGAAGTCCAGATTTGAATAGATACTTTCTAATAAACCGACAGAATATGTAACAATACAACCACAGAATATAATTATGAACCCACAGCATATAATAACGAAACCACAGCATATAATTATAGATCCACAGCATATAATTATAGACCCACAGCATATAATTATAAACCCACAGCATATAATTATAAAACCACAGCATATAATTATAAACCCACAGCATATAATTATAAAACCACAGCATATAATTATAGACCCACAGCATATAATAACGGATCCACAGCATATAATAATAGACCCACAGCATATGATTATGGAACCACAGCATATAATATAAGAACCACAGCATATAATAACAAACACACAGCATATAATTATAGACCCACAGCATATAATTATAAACCCACAGCATATAATTATAGACCCACAGCATATAATTATAGAACCACAGCATATAATATAAGAACCACAGCATATAATAACGAACCCACAGCATATAATTATAGACCCACAGCATATAATTATAAACCCACAGCATATAATTATAGACCCACAGCATATAATTATAAACCCACAGCATATAATTATAAACCCACAGCATATAATATAATCATCTAACATAAGGCAGCCATGGCGTTCCATATATATACATGTTCATCATATTCTGTAATGCGTTTTTATCTTACTGCTAGGAAATTATCCATTCCATTGGCATATGTGTGGTGACGTCACAAACTCTTACATCCGGGGTAGTGTTATCCGGGACTCCAACGCACGTTGTGTAACAGTCCATGGTACCAATGGGGCTGTGGTGAGTATAATTATATGATAAAACATGTAAATGTAATAATATAAAGAATGTCTTTAAAAATTTCACGATACAAGTGTGGGGATTGAGGTAGTACACAATACCTTTAATATTATACCTTGTCCATTTGATATTATTTAAAAAAATTATCAAATCTTTGCACCATCACATGGGGAACCAATTTACATTATCAGAATTTGCTATCATTCAACTAGGTATAATTGCAGGCTTACCTCAGCAGGGTTCCGTCTTGTGTCCACTTTTATTTTTGCTTTATGTAAATGATGCTTCAAAGAGGAAGGTATGGTTTTAGCTTTATTGTGCCCTAAAAATAGAATGTTTTCAAAAAGTTCTGAAAATGGCTTAACTATTAGTTGAGTTTCTAGCTGTGAAAGATCAGGAAAGAATATGGCATGAAGGAGTACCATTCTGGAAATATGACATCATTATTTTGATACATTTCTCTATTTCAAACAGAAAAAGCCTCAAAATGACCCATTTTAAGTGGAATTTTCCTTTAGTAAATAATATCCACAGCCGTCGCTCACTTTAATTTTTGGATATACGAGTATTGTGCAAAATACTTGTATAATTATTATGGATTCAGAATACACAAGTTTTCATTTTTTACATCAGTTTCATTTTAAGAAAATCACAGGGCAAGATTTGTATTGAAACCGTACCTTTTTCTTTATCATCAATGTGTTTTTTGGTGAAAATGCGCTTTAATAACCTACCTTTGAAATATTAGATCCTAATTCATCTATATGGTCAAACAAATGGCTTCCAAAATCTAACCCTTCCTAAAACAAAGTGAACGTGTTTTAAAAGAGAATATTTCTGTTATGCTTCGATTTCTTATCATAAAAGGCTACAGACTAGATTGTGTTCCAAAATCTCTTGGAACTTAATGAGCTTTCGCCTCAATGAGTTTGGAGAATTGTCGTTGTATAATGCCAGTAAAAAAATTTAAGAAAAAGTTATCATTTTTTCCTTATAAGGCCCCAATTGATAAACTGATCCAGCCTGCCTGCCTGATATTTTATTATACCCCCCGCTTGAAAAGCAGGAGGGTATATAGTAATCGGTATTTCCGTCTGTCCGTCCGTCCGTCCGTCTGTACGTCAGGGCTCCCGCTGGACCGAAAATATTTTTCGCCACTTTTCGCGACACAAGCTTTAAGAAAAGGCATACTTATATCTGATTTCTCGACAATGCAATGCACTTTTTAGCTCACCTGAGCCGAAGGCTCAAGTGAGCTTTTCTGATCACATTTTGTCCGTCGTCCGTCCGTCCGTCCGTCTGTCCGTCTGTCTGTCTGTCCGTCTGTAAACTTTTCACATTTTCGACTTCTTCTCAAGAACCACTGGGCCAATTTTGACCAAACTTGGTACAAAGCATCCTTGGGTGAAGGGGAATTTAAATTGTTAAAATGAAGGGACATATCCCCTCGCAAGGGGAGATAATCAAGAAAAGACAAAAATAGGGTGGGGTCATTAAAAAATCTTCTTCTCAAGAACCACTGGGCCAGTAAAGCTGAAACTTATGTGGAAGCATCCTGGTATAATGTAGATTCTAAATTGTTCAAATCATGACCCCCGGGGGAAGGGCGGGGCCACAATGGGGAATCAAAGTTTTATATAGAAATATATAGGAAAAATCTTTGAAAATCTTCTTCTCAAGAACCACTGGGCCAGAAAAGCTGAAACTTATGTGGAAGCATCCTGGTATAGTGTAGATTCTAAATTGTTCAAATAATGACCCCCGGGGGAAGGGCGGGGCCACAATGGGGAATCAAAGTTTAATATAGAAATATATAGGAAAAATCTTTGAAAATCTTCTTCTCAAGAACCATTGGGCCAGAAAAGCTGAAACTTATGTGGAAGCATCCTGGTATAATGTAGATTCTAAATTGTTCACATCATGACCCCCGGGGGAAGGGCGGGGCCACAATGGGGAATCAAAGTTTTATATAGAAATATATAGGAAAAATCTTTGAAAATCTTCTTCTCAAGAACCACTGGGCCAGAAAAGCTGAAACTTATGTGGAAGCATCCTGGTATAATGTAGATTCTAAATTGTTCACATCATGACCCCCGGGGGAAGGGCGGGGCCACAATGGGGAATCAAAGTTTTACATAGAAATATATAGGAAAAATCTTTGAAAATCTTCTTCTCAAGAACCAATGGGCCAGAAAAGCTGAAACTTATGTGGAAGCATCCTGGGGTAGTGACTAATGTAGATTCTAAATTGTTCACATCATGACACCCTGGGGTAGGGCGAGACTACAATAGGGGACACAAGTTTTACATTGAAATATATAGGAAAAATCTTTGAAAATCTTCTTCTCAAGAACCACTGGGCCAGAAAAGCTGAAACTTATGTGGAAGCATCCTGGTATAATGTAGATTCTAAATTGTTTACATCATGACCCCCGGGGGAAGGGCGGGGCCACAATGGGGAATCAAAGTTTAATATAGAAATATATAGGAAAAATATTTGAAAATCTTCTTCTCAAGAACCACTGGGCCAGAAAAGCTGAAACTTATGTGGAAGCATCCTGGTATAATGTAGATTCTAAATTGTTCAAATAATGACCCCCGGGGGAAGGGCGGGGCCACAATGGGGAATCAAAGTTTTATATAGAAATATATAGGAAAAATCTTTGAAAATCTTCTTCTCAAGAACCACTGGGCCAGAAAAGCTTAAACTTATGTGGAAGCATCCTGGTATAATGTAGATTCTAAATTGTTCACATCATGACCCCCGGGGGAAGGGCGGGGCCACAATGGGGAATCAAAGTTTTACATAGAAATATATAGGAAAAATCTTTGAAAATCTTCTTCTCAAGAACCACTGGGCCAGAAAAGCTGAAACTTATGTGGAAGCATCCTGGTATAATGTAGATTCTAAATTGTTCACATCATGACCCCCGGGGGAAGGGCGGGGCCACAATGGGGAATCAAAGTTTAATATAGAAATATTTAGGAAAAATCTTTGAAAATCTTCTTCTCAAGAACCACTGGGCCAGAAAAGCTGAATCTTATGTGGAAGCATCCTGGTATAATGTAGATTCTAAATTGTTCAAATAATGACCCCCGGGGGAAGGGCGGGGCCACAATGGGGAATCAAAGTTTTATATAGAAATATATAGGAAAAATCTTTGAAAATCTTCTTCTCAAGAACCATTGGGCCAGAAAAGCTGAAACTTATGTGGAAGCATCCTGGTATAATGTAGATTCTAAATTGTTCAAATAATGACCCCCGGGGGAAGGGTGGGGCCACAATGGGGAATCAACGTTTTATATAGAAATATTTAGGAAAAATCTTTGAAAATCTTTTTTTCAAGAACCATTGGGGCAGAAAAAGTGAAGCTTATGTGGAAGCATTCTGGGGTAGTGTTAATTCTAAATTATAGGAATCATGACCCCCGGGGGAAGGGCGGGGCCATTATAGGGAATCAAAGTTTTACATAGAAATATATAGGAAAAATCTTTGAAAATCTTCTTCTCAGGAACCACTGGGCCAAAAAAGCTGAAACATATGTGCCCATGGAAGGATCATGGGGCAGTGTAGATTTCAAAATGTCTAAATTATGATCAGTGGGGTAGGGTGGGGATGCTTTATGTATTACAAGGGGGAAATCTGGTAAAGAACAGAATGGTCAAAGCTTCTCAGGTGAGCGATGTGGCCCATGGGCCTCTTGTTGTTATTCAATTTTTTTATTATGTTTATCTGACACAGATATTGTTTTAAAATTGTAATGTTTAAAGCTTATGGTAGTATCCATTTAAAAAAAGAAAAAAAATAATAATGTTGGAATTACACAATTAATTTGATATTGTATTGATATCAGCCAACTCTTGACAGAAAATGTCCTCTTGTTTATATTTTTTTCACCTGGGAAGGAGGGGGGGGGGCTACAGACCTAGTAAAAATATGACATTTTTTTAAAAATAGAAATTTTCATCATTTCATTAATTAATTGTGAAAAGAAGTAAATTAAAAAGTAATGAAAATTAGGTTTGAAACTTAACAACTTGGAGACTCCATGCAGGGTTTAATATGCAAGCTCATGTTATTGTAAATAACTCAGTGTAATTTACTAACTAAAGATAATTCTGTTTCCAAACCAATTTCTTTTTCACTCTTTGTCAGTTAATGGTATATTAATGTACACTTTTTAAAATTTACATTTAATAGGCAAAATTTGAATTCATTCTTTACAATTTTCGTCATCTTTCCCTACTTTCGGTTTAAAAAAAACGATCTACATAGATCCAGATTTTTTTGATAAAAATCTTTTCTTTACAAACTTCATCTTCGAATAACACTTTATCCCCCCTTGTTTAATCCAAATTATATTATTTCAAGCAATTTTGTAACCCTTTATTGCTCCAGGCTAGTTACCTAGTCAGCATTGTTCGTTCAAGCGAGACGTGATTTCCTGTATGTAGGTTTCAGTTTTCACACCTCTGCTGCATTAAGTAAACAAAGGGACTTATCTGTGTACATTGAATAAACAAAGGAGCTAACCAGGACTACACAAATTTTGTACATGGTACATCTAAAAAATTAATTTTCGCCACTTATGAATTTCTTTTCGCCACTTTTGAAAAAAATTCGCAATTGGCGACAATGGCGAATCACAGCTCGAGCCCTGCTGTACGTCCGTCCGTCTGTCCGTCCGTCTGTTACGCTTTGGGGTACCCATCTCTTATCCGCAACTCCTCTCATACCACTGAATGAAATTTGATGAAACTTTCACAGAATCTTTATTACATATTGCCATTGTGCACCTCCTATTTTACTTTTTGATCCGACACATATTTTGGGTTTCCCGGCCACAGGAAAACATGGACTTTTTCACCAGTTAAAACCATATGGGAGGCGGGGGGTATCATTTAGTGAGCTCATCGCTCACAGTACCTCTAGTTTTTACAAATTAAATGAACATCAACCACCACCATAGTACAATGTTCACAACAAAAACACAAATATA